GGCCAGCAACCTAATTGCCTCGCCGCTTCTAGTTTTAGGCGCTCACTTAGGTTTGAGCAGAAATGAGGCGAGAAAACGGTTTGGGCGAGAAAACGAGGTTGACTAGGGAAGATGGTCGGTGGGTTAGGGCAAACCCAGYACCGAGGTCATCCTGCCCCGCGAGCTAAATCGGAGCTGGGCCGATTCGGATGGAAGGGACTTTGTGGGGTGGGTCTCTCTCCCCGCACCTCCAAAMGATGCCTCGGCCGGTCCTGTAACCGGGCGGGAGAGCGGCGGCCGGGACAGGGACAGCCGCAGCGGCGAGGCAAGCCCCGAGGGCCGCAACGCGCGCCCCGCCATCCGACGGCCGCCTCTGCTGTCCGGTCCGGCCCGGGGGCGGCGGCGGGGGAAGCGGGGCAGGGCCCAGGCCTAGGTCTTGCCGCTGTCAGCCGGCAGCCTCCCGAAGCCGCGGCCCCCGCTCTCCCGCTCCCTCCTGCCCGCGCTCCCGCGGTTTCCACCCGCCGCACACCGGAGCGCAGCCCCGGAGCATCCGCGTGCTGAGCAGGGCGGGCGGGCGCCACAGTAACCTCTGAAAATTCCATTAATTTTATTAGCACAGAAGAACACCCCCCCCTCCCCTCCCCGCCTGCCCGCCCGCCCAAGCGCTCCGCAGGCGGACAGCTCGCAAGTTAGGTAGGACTCAGCCCGGGGACGGCCCTCCCGATCGGCGCCGTCCCCTCCTGCAGCCGCTGCTCGGCTGTGAGCGCCGTGCTCGCCGCGGAGCTGAGCTGCCCCAGCCCCGCAGCGGGATCGGTCTCCTCCACGCCGCCCCGACGGCCTCGCCGGCCGCGTTCCGCCGCTCCCTCGGGGCCCCCCAGCTCCGTTCCGGCTCCTCCGGGGCTGCCGCCGCCGTGCCGGTGCAGCCGGTACCGGTGGGGACGGGGCAAACGGTGATGGGGAAAGGCAGCCCCCGCCTCGGAACCGCTTCTCTCCGCGCCGCCACGAACCCCCGAAGGGCTTTCCCATCCCGCGCTACCAGCGCAGCCCGATGGGCGTTTTGTAAAATTTAAATATTGATTTTAAACAAGGGAAACAGAGAGAAGGGGAGGGGTGTTGTCCGACCCCGCTCGGCTGCTCCCGCGGCGGTCCCGGCGTGGGGCGCTCGATGCACTGGCCAGGCTCGGCCCCTCGCCGGCCACCGGCGACACCAGCCGGGTTTGGGCCACATTTACTGCCGGGTCCCTGGGACAAAACCCGGGCGGGCTGTTCAGAGGAGAAAGTGTTCGGCGGTGAAGGAATCGTTGATTTCGGGTCAGAGCGTGTGCAGGAGCCAGGAGGGTKTTAGAGAAAGTTGTCTTCCTGCCCAGCAAGGGGACTGCCGGCAACATCTCGTTGTCGAGAGGAAAGGATCTTTAGGGAAAGAAACAAAACCAAACCCAACCAAAGAAAAAAAAAAAAAAAAAGCCCCGCGTTTTCTACCCCTCCTTTAAGAGTTGTCCGTTCTCGGATTGAGCCTCAGTACTATTCGTTCCTTAATTTCAGTAAGATTATAAGTGGCAGCATGATTGATTAAGATAATATTAATCAGAAAACACTTTAGTCTTGCTAAGCAGATGGCAAGAAAAGTGGAGCTTTGCAGTTGTCTCATTCAGACACCTTAACCTCCCTTTCACAGGACTTAATCCAATTAGCTTTTCTCCTGAGTTTCAGTTGTTATGTAAAGATCCTTTTGCATTGGGGAGAAATATGGCTTCATTTAAAAAAATCAGTCATGTTTTAATTTCTCTTCAACAGATTTTCCCTAAACAGGCGGGATTAAAAAAAAAAAAAAAATCACTCACGATTCTAATTTTAAGGTAGGGGAACAGTGCCGTGTGCTTCCATCGAGTTTAGCTGCCGTTYCTCTAACTTGCAGAGTGACCCACGGGGGCTGTCACCAAGGCCAAAGGGATCTCTGGCTGTCTGGGCTCCCGGAGAGCCCCCGGCCCAGTGTACGGCGGGACAGCGGCAGCGCTTCCACAGCAGCGCCCGGCCCCGAC